TGCATTATCCAATGATCCAGTTTTCAATAATAAATAATAGTTAATTCACACCTCATTAAGCATACAGTTCCTTCATGAAAAGAAAAACAACGGCGAAAGCAATCGACTATCTTTGGCCTAGCTCTGTTTTAGTGCAATACAGGATTAAATAAAATAAAATTTTTAGACTAAATAGTACAGGCATAATGATATCCAGGGACGCTTTAAGCTGAATTGATTCAAATGTTACCACCCGACAGCTTCAGGATGGATTCAGATTCTCTGTTTGTAGACAGAATAGTTCAAAGTTTAAATTGACTTTCGTAACTCTTTCCTTCATGTGCCTAACTGAGCTAGTCACAAAAGCGTGAAGGATTTCAACTGTCCCTTTTTTTGCAAGATAATCTTATCATTAACAAAATGCGAAACTCGGAGCAGCTCTTTTATCATTTTGGTGTTGATGCTGTCTGCATTAGCGATTAAGTTGTGATGTGCGCGTAACATTTAGACATGTTCAACCATAGTTACTATGGTTCGACTAATTCGGCTAGATGTATTAAATTAGAATAAAGATGAACCTTAAGATTAGATTTCAAATAATATGTGCTCACCTGTAGCCAGAGGAAGAAGTTCAGCGAGAAAAGCTATGCGGAAACAAAGCTCGAGATGAAATTTCGACATGTTCGACCGAAACTGTCACGGAATACCGCACGATTGTCTTGCATGACCGGCCATTTGTAACAGAAAGCTAATCCGACAAAATATGTCTTTGTTTCCTCGCTATTCAAGCTCGTTTTTGCATAACCTGCATATCGTCATTGCATGTAAATTCGGAGTTTTAAATTGGGCTATGTTAATTTCTAATTTCTGTTCGTTCGTCAGTTTGAATTTCACCCTTTGATGCTTTGTTGTACCCTCCAGGGTTATCAGCTGTTAAGGTAAAAACAGCCTCTTTACAAAAGTTCTTTGACGAAAATTTCGTTTTAAAAGTCATCACGTCACTGCCAGTTTTCCAATGCGAATTTTTTACGGTTTTTTATATTAGATGTGAGCTAGAATGTATCCTTCTTTGTTTACCTCGTCCCTTCCCGCATAGTCTCCTATGTTATTTAAAATTGTACTTCAGCTGTTCTTCTAGAACTTCAGGTGTTTGTATTAAATTAAGTCTGCTCTCTCTGACTGGTAATCGGCCTATATCGTTTTCATACGCTCGAATTGTCAAAAAGCGAAAAGAACTGCCGCGGTACTTGTTTGATATTTTGAAATCAGGAGTAACAATATGGAAAAGAGCTGGTTACATCTATCAAAGTAGGAAATTAAATATTTTTCTAAAATCTTTTGTAACCTGAAATTGTTATTTAATTTCTCCATTTTATTCTTGACACATTTCCTATAGGGTTGACAATGAGAATTTTGCTGAAGAATCGAGAGCTTCTTCAGCTACCGCTTATTTCCTTTATTCTGGCGAGCTAAAGTTTTGTTTAAGCGGTGATTCCAATCGTTTTTTAGGGCTAAAATGGTTTTCCGTAGTGACTGATCACCACCCCTTTTAAGGCTAAGTAAGGGAAGTCTTTCCTTTCTTCCTTTGTTAAACCCAGTTTTCATTTATCTCTTTTTCACTTTGTTCGCTTTTGTCCAGTGATAGTGACGTCTGCTGATAATGTTCACAGCTGAGAGATCGTCCTCAGACTTTCGCATTTACCCTCTAAGTTTCGCCCCTCTCCCAAATATTCATTATTCAAACGAAAAAGTACCAGCTGCCTGAAGGAGTTTATTTT